CCCTGGCTCCAGGAGCAACTGGGTTTCCTGTCTGGCTATGCCCACCTTCTTCCTTTGCTCTTGCTTTTCAAGTCCTCTCCTTCCTCCCAAGCAGTGCTTAGTTCTCCCATCTCTCGCATTTTTTTTTTTTTTCTCCCCACGTCTACATTGTGGCTCCTGTTTGACTTACACATTCAGGGCCTCTCTGCACATTTTGCTAATCCCATGCAAATCCCTGCCACATTCCCCAGGCAGAGCTGGCCTTTTGGCACAGCCATACCAGGCTCATCATTTTGCAGGCTTCTTGTGTTAGTTACTAAGATGGTGGGTAAATTTGTTAGGGAGGGGGAAGTGAACAAGAGCAGATATCACCTACAGGATCCAAAAGATTAACAAAAAAGTTCAATTATTTCAACATTAAGAGATACCCAACTTGTTACAAATTTGATAAGCAGCAGCAAAAGGATGGTCTTATTAACAATCCCTATTTCAATTCACACAAAAACCTGAAAACTTATGAAGCACAATGAGAAGGAAAACCTTTAACTATCCTGTTTCTCACAGACTGCGAGTTGCAAAGTATGGAGGAAGCTGATAATGCTCTTTCAGTTCCTGAGGACTTCAAGCAGCTTAAAAAATAGTTATATGATGTTGGCGAATAAGCTCACTAACAGCTGGCCAACAAGCTAAAGACAAGCATCTACAAAACTGCTGAAGTGTAAAACAACGTAGAAACACCTGAAGATACATCTGTGGACAAGGAGCTATCCAGCAAGTGAGGTTAGTCACCAGTAGCTCTGGGAACCATAGAGTGTTTGTCTCGCTGTGTCTTCCAGTATAGGAACACTTGGACCACTTCTGATCAGATTTTGCAAGAAGAGATTAAGTGGGTAAAATTGATGCAGATTTCTTTGTGGTCACAAACTGTGTTTGTTCAAACAAGTAATTAAATGAGCAGCTCCCAGCACCCAGCAGAAAGGGACTCCTCTGGTTTGTCAAGATGCCTCTAACAATGCCTCACAGAAATGATAACTGTGCCCAAATTCTTTTTCAGATCTCTTCCCTGATGTAAGATTTATTAACTTGAGCTGCATTTATTGGCATCCAACTGCAGCGAGAAGTCGGCTCTCCAGTTGGCTGTGAAAGTTTTCATCATCCTTAAGCATCAGGAAAGGAATTTCCAGATCCAATTAGCAAAAAGCCTCCACCCCTCCAGCCTGAGCAGTTGCATTGAGCATCATTAATCACTGTGTCACATTAAGCCTTCACCACCCTTCTGGCAGGAACAGGTTACAGAAAAACATTCTTCATTACAATTCCTATTTAGGATGACATTGTCATATACCTGGCAATGATGTCTGGGGTTTATGGTTAACTAAACCATGTATACATGCTGTTAGTTTAAGTATAATGTAAAATACCTGTGTATTTATCTGCATTTATCAGTTCTCTGTCCCTGCGACCTTACCAGTAACTAAATATTGCATCAGATGCCTGCATGTATTATATGCACCCTGACTCATCACAGCACATGTGGTATTCATGCTAAATCTGCCCGAAACAGCAAATAAACAGCAGCATGAATAGAGCATCTTCACAACTGTCTCCTTTTTGGCTACGTGCCTACTCTTGCTCTGGAAGAGCTGCTGTACAAGAAAAGTTGGTTAATGTTCGCGCTTCCACAGCTCTTGGAAGACTAAGATGCTCAAAGAGTAGAAATTGATATTCACCAAAGAGCTGTCAGGGGAAAAGTTTTCCCTAAGGTGCACTGTCACAGCACAGTGTGTTTGACTGGCCCTTAGGCTCCTTCCCTTCCCCAGGAGAAACACGAGATGCATAATCTGTTCGTACTCATGACTTTTTCCCATGCAATTAGAATGTTGCTTCAAAGGACTGCTGTCCTTAAGTAGGCAATATAATCCGACAGATTTTTGTGGATGTGGTCTGGGTTATGCCATCTTCTGACATCCACAAGCTTCAAAGTAGAAAGTAATGTTGCCTTCCAGAGGGGCAGGGGGAGGGATACAACCAGAGACTTCTGAGGACTCAAAGGCACGTCTCATGCCTGATCTCACAGCAGCGAAAGCGTCCACATGACCTTACATAATGAACAAAATGAACTGAAAACTGACTCAGTGCTACAAAAAAAATTCAGGAGATGGGGAAGGTTTATTGCTTCAGCAGTCAGAGTACAGCTTTGAACATTATTGGTCAGTTCAGCAGTGGAAAAAAAAGACATTTTTCAGCCTCAGCTGTCTAGTCTCCTACTCTGCACCATATTGAGTAATGCCAGAGAAGACTACTAAGATCACTGCTCTGCTGCGAACCAAGTTATGGACAGCTGTAGAACACAGCGAGATCCTTAGGTGAAGACAGGCCAGGGAAGTCCATCTATACCTCCTGCTTGTATGTTTATGGCTTTGACTGAGCTCTTGAGTGCAAGGAAAAGTAGAAGAACAAAGACTGGGATCTTCAAGGGGAACTCAAGGCCTTCTCCATCCTCTGAAACCGTGAAGTGTACACATGATAAGCCAAAAGAACCTCTCCATGCTGTAGTCACATGCTCCATGGAAGCTGTAATCTCTCAAGGACACAGATATGGCCATGCAAACATGGGTTACGCCTATGCCAAGAACCCATGTATGTCCCTAGGACTCCTAGATGGCTTTTATCGTACCTGCTAACGCGTGTGAAAGCTTGTGCTGAAGCAGTTTCATTTCTCTTGTGCTCCTGTTAGCCAGGAGCATGCCACCCTTCGATACCCTGAGTTGAGAGGCGAGGACATAAGCTAGCAACTTCTTGGTTTAAACCTTTGGAGGTGAAAAGAAGAGGAGCTCCCTGCCACGCTGGGGACAGACATCACAAGTGCAGGCAGCAAACAGAGCAGGAGGGTGTTTGGTAACAGGCGCTGAGAAACCAGCAGCATTTTCTACATCCCCTTCAACGACACCATCTCCAACACAGTCCTCACGAAATCCAGGCTGAAGCTAGCGTAGGTACGCTCACCCATGCTGTCACCACTGCTTCACTCTGCATAGTTTACTGTGTGTTAAGTAACATATACCGTAAAATCCTTGTATAGGCTAAACAAGTTGTACCATACCTCACATGGTCAAAGCAAACCCGACTGCAAAGTGTTGGATGATAATTGTCTTCGCATCTGCTCAGCACCAGCCTGTCCAAGGGTCCTGTGCCAGAGAGCTGACCGCAAAACTTCAGACATGGGGGAGGCAGAAAGCAGACACAGGAGGGGAAAATGCTGCAAACATCTTCAGGAGAGGGGTTGTCTTAATGGATTTTTGTCATTATTGAATTCGATCGTGGGTAAAGGCCAAGCTTCCTCAAGACAGCCTGAAAATAAGAACCTGTCTCTGTCTCAAGACCCATCAGTAGGTGCCTTCCCAAGGCTTCTACCTGCCCCAGGCACTCGGCTCAGCAGGTGCTCAGCATCACGGGCTGCACAACGAAACATTTCACCAATGCATCCCAACTTCTGCCAAGAGCGGTGCCAGTCTCTCTGCATGGCCATGCCCAGGGGGACCTCAGAGAGAGGGGGCCTTTGTACAGCCCTCGAGATGATGCCCAGTGCCAGAAGCGACCTGGCACAGGAGCCCAGCTGAATCACAGCTGCAGCAATTGCACTAATTGTCCAAGGGACAAAACAATTGCACTTGTCTGACTGGTCAGGGCTTGACAGGAGCTTTGTGAAAGCATTTTGCCTTGAAGTGAATTTCTGAAACAAAGCCCTTTAACTCCAAGCCTTTCCAGACTTCTTCCTAGCAAGTGCAATTTATTCTTTCTATAAAGGAGAGCTTTAAAAGAAATGTTACCCAGGAGAGTGAAATCTCACTGCTGTTGGCTTTCACCACCATCTGTGAAGGATGTAACTCTGAATTTCCATTACTCTGTGGTAGGAATTGAGGTCTCAATTTCAACCATCTCCCTGAAAAACCACCTAGGGTGCAGTCCAAGGTCCCTTTTCCTGGTTGCACCTCTGTTCCCCATTAAATAGGACTGTCTCTGTTTGAAGAGCAGCCCCAGCCCCACGTGAGCCACGCTTGACGGCCGGTGCTTCCCTGCAGCATGGCTCAGCAGCTGTGGTGGGACAGCTGGAAAAAGGCCTGTCTTGAACTTGCTGGTGCACAAGCTGTGAAGGAAAATTGTGATTGCTCACGTCAGGAGCTGCACCCACGCTCCCAGATAGCCAACGCGGCACACAGAGCCATGCGTCTGAGTCAGAAAGAGCTGCCCTTTGCACCACCTTCAGAGGCCAAAATAATCTGGACTGATTCACAGTCACAGGTGCTGGACTCGCTGCAGGTGCAAACCCAGCAGCAACCAAGAGCCTCAGACACACCACCAAGCTCCCACAGGTGCAGACAAAGCAAAGCAAGGGACATTTTCCTCCCATTGCCCGCAGAAGCCATTGACAGCATTGAACATCCTGACCACTACCAATAAGGGGAAAATCCAGGGGTTTTCTATTTCTTCAGAGCTGTGGTTTGATGGCAAAACTAATGGAGAGAGGTGACTCTGCCACGAGGGCCACAGTGTTGTGGGGCTGGAGGGCCCCAGCAGTCTCCATGGTTGGTGGAACTTGAAACTGGTGTCCAGGCACCCTGGTTGCCTTGGTCACCCCAGCACAGTTTGGTCCAAGCACAGCTCTGCAGCAGTTTTCATACCTGGTGCGAGTGAGGCTCTGGAGAAGGGAGAGTGGAGTCTGTGTCCCACGGAGGAGATGGCCTCTAAGGATGGAGCCAGGGAGAGGGACACCAGTGCCAGCCAGGTGAGCACGGGCAGGGAGATCAGCAAGTAGTGACGGCAAAGCAGAGTCTGGCTTCGATTTCACGTCCGAAACGTGGTTTGGGATCAAATTTGCAGAAAAGTAATCTTCCAAGGGAGCAGAGCATGTCAGAGAGGGAAGGACTTCTCCTCCTACACACTTCAGCATGTTCTAAAAGGCAACATCAGCCTGTGTAAGTCAATTATGTAAGTGTTGCTTTCCAAGAGATGAGTGGAGGAGTTACCTACACGAATGTTGACATATGGAAACAGTCACTGCCCTTTGCAAGAGAAAACATCCCCCTCCTGGGACCAGGGAGGTACAAGTTCAGTGGCTGAGGATTTTGGTTTGTTTTCAGCCTGGCTTTGCAGCAGGTCAGCCCTGGCACCTCTGCCATTGATAAAAGCTGTGCATGGAGCAGCATGGTGTTACAATGAGCCCATTGTAACCACATATTTCCACTTAACCAGTGACTGCCAGCCCATGTTTGATTAATACCAGTAGGAACAAGTGGCTGTTGTTTACCTTGTAATTTATTAGAGGTAGGATTTCCAAAAGGGACTTCAAGCAGGCACCTAATTCTTATGGACTTCTAATTATAATTGAACACCTAGCATCATTAAGCACCTCTGAAAACCCTATCTGAAAGGATCTGGCAGTAAGAGAAGTGTTTCTGAGCCCCAGGACAGGGTTTTGTCCTTGGCAGTTTTTTAAAGATGCAAGGTTTTCCTGAACTAGAAGACTAACCTGTGGCTTTGGCAATTTGTAGAGCACAGAGGAGGATCTGGCCGGCCCAGCGAAGGAGGCAGCTGTGGTAACAGGCAGTGAGAGTGCTCCACCGTGCAAGACCCCGCTCATCTGCTGCGCAGATGGCCTCGATCGGGACACCTTTAAAATCGTGAGATAATGAATAGCATTCAGCAGTAGAAAAAGTCCGTGGCATCTCAGGTTCTCGAGAGAGAGGGAGCAAATAAAACCCAGGAGTTTGGCAGAGAGAGCAAAAAAGCAGGGCAAGACACTCCATTCTGTAGCTTTCTTCCACACCTGAAAGTTTTTACCTCATTGTTGTTTTCCAGTAATCTGGACATTGTTCTTTTAGTTTAAAAAAGCCCAACAAACCAAACTGCAAAACCGTGGAAAAAAAACCAAACCAACAGCAGCAGAACAATCCCATTTCACACATTGTTCAGCTTTCCAAAACAAGTACTGCTACATTATCATTTCACATGACGCCATGTGCTCTCTTGGCTACAGTGCTTTGGTTCCTCTGCATCACTTACACTGCAGCCACAAAGCCCCATCTCTTATCTTTCTCCCCCACCGTCAGATCTGACCTTCCCATTCCTGCCCCAGTCACGGCCCAACGCACATAACAGACCAAAAAAAAAAGGACAGACAAAAAGGAGGGCGTCCAGACGCAACGTTTGCTCCTGTGTCACCTGCGAACGCTTGCAACACATCCCAGGTTTGCCCACAGGAAGAAGCAGCGTGAGAAAACCAGCAAAGCAGTTCCCTTTCCCCCTCTCTGCAGAACAGCAGCTGTTTTGTAACCTGATATTTGTACCTTTCACCCTACAATGTTAAAAAGGAATTCCCAGTCTTGGAAATCCCTCAATTCCCTTTTCAAGTCTCCTTCAATGTGCTTCACCCCGGGGCGTCACCACCCTTGG